AAATATTAGGTGTACTACTACTTAGAAACGACCCATTTTATTTAAATTACATTAAAAAATATACATATATATATGTATTAAAAACGACGGACAGACACAAACTGTCTGATTTAGATGGAGAGTTTGAAAGGCGTATGATATAAATAAGTTATACCTAATTTAGTTGATATACCGAGAAAAAATACGCGGTTAACTGGTAGTGGTATATAATAATATTAGTCGTGTTGTTTTCCCTTTGTGTGTAGCCATCGTCAAAATAACCGAGAAATCGACATAAAATAAACCGATTTATCGGCGTTATTATTTATATAACATTTTTAAGAAGAAATAAAATAGGCGAAATAATCAAGAAGCGTTTTCATATAAAATTCGGAGCATTTTTACTAACATAAAAAAAGTTTTCTGAGAAAAAAATAGGATCTAGGGGGCGAACCCTTGAGAATTAAAAAAAAAAATTGTCAGATTAGTAACACCGGACGAAAAATCCGCATGTCACACGGTAGGATTTGAACAAGTTTTTGATCATTGTTACTTTTCATAATACTCCACAGGCGATGCATTGATACATTTATTTCTTTTATTTTTGTGTGTACATTTTTTTTTTTATTTTATTTATTTACGAGTACTAACCATTTTAATAATTTTGTTTTTACTTTATTATTTTATCATTTTTACTAGCTGAAAAAAAGTTTTTTCTTCGCTACACGCATAATCTAAAATAAAATCTACTGTTCTAGTACAGTAAATAAATGTAGTATTTAAACATTTCAGGAAACAAAAGATGTTGAAATATTTCATTGATTAATGCAATTTGTATTATTATAATTATTATTGTATTGGTTTTGTTTGTCTTGTAAAATAAAAAAAAAATTTATTTCTTATTATCATTTTTAATTTATAATTTCGCATATTAGTTACACAACATTTTCAGTTAGCAATATTGAAAATATTTTTTCCGAAATACATATAATTAGTTATGTCATAATAATATTATTAATTAATATTCATTAGTATATTATTCAGTGTACAATTCAGATCCCGGTTTTCTTGCTCACGATAACATTTATTTCTAGAAAGAAAAATATAATCCAAATATAAAAACCATTTAGAAATGATAACGCTGTTATTTAATTATATCCAAAATTGACGGGCAATTTATCTTTGTAATGCATCTGGGCCAAATAGCGAAATAAATAAATAATAATTGACAAGAACCCAATAGTTCACATTATGAAATATTCCAGACTTCAAACACAAAATGAGATCGTCGTAAATAGTTTATCGGAATAAAATTGTATTATAAACTGTTAGTAGAACGTACGAAATTCTGTTCGTTGAATGGTGAAAAACGACAAATTGTATTATAAATTGTGTAGAAGAACTCGAGAAAAACGGCTGTACGGTTATTTGTAGCTATAAATAACAACCGAAAACGATTTGACGAGAAGACGCGCGTCTTTAAAATTGTAAAGACTTCGAATACGGTCCACGCCGTGATAATCTCGTGACCGATATAATTAATTACCACCGGCTTCGAGTGTGTCTCCGAGATAAAATATTGCCGTTTGAATTGCATAGTTAACACTTCTGGGCCGCGGAAACTCACGACTTTACTTGTTTTGCCACTTTTCGGCGGCACGATTCCAATTATAATAATTTTTTTTTTTTTCATTTTACTTTTTATCGCGAGAGGTCAACGAATAAATTAAGAAAAATCGACACGATTCCGTTCGCGCTTTGATAATAATATAAACATTTGCCACAATAACAAATATGCATGTACAACAGGCAGTGCCCCGATAATAATTATTGTTTCACGAGAAATACCTTACAATAATACTATTGCCCACCGATAAAAATTGTTTCTATACGATTATAAAAGTCTTTATAAAACAATATTACGTAATATTATCGCGTCGACATGTTTTTTATTATTATTATTTTTTTTTTTTTTTGCTATTCGCGTTTATTTCTAATACCATACAGAACCCGAGAACATGATATTTTACACGGTGCTTTCGGCGATTGCGATAGTTGCGTGTTGTACGACGAATTAAATATTTCCAAAAGACAAAAACACAATCATGTTATAATAACCATGTTCCGTAGATCCGTAAACCAAACATTAGTCCCGGCTCCCTAGGGTGTACGATTGTACATTGGCAATGGTAAAGGAAGTTAGTAAAGCGGTTCTTTGCAAAACTGCAGAGTAACCACTTACGGGCGGCCATCATAAGTCGCATTAAAATGAGGAAAAACAAATTGTTTGCGCTCAAACGGGTCGTCGCGAAAGTCACCGACAAACGTCCGAATCGTCGAGCCAACGAAGGAGAAAAAAAAAAGCTGATACCAATACTAATGGGCGTGCCACTGTCGTAGGTGGACGGTTCAGAAAGATGGGATGTATATAGCGAGTAAATTAATTTACGCCTGTTATCGACGATTTATTGTTGCTAACGAAAAACCGTTCTGAGCGATATTCCGTTGATCGTGTTTTGAAAAGCCGCGAGTTGTACAGGGCCCGTTAAAGTTTTAATTTTAAACGCTTATATTAAAAAAAAAAAAAAAACTGCTACATTACGTTCGGTTATTTTTTTTTTTTTTTTACCATTAAGTTCAACTTACAAATGATCCGGACATTAAATGTTCGAGCATTTTCGCTGGTATACCGATGCGCCAAATAGACGTTAATGATCGTTGTAAGATTTCCGGTTGAGAGGTTGTTCACAGACGGAAAAAAAATGTGTATAAAAAAAAGCACGCCTCGCGTAGTTAAACTAATGTATCTATCGGCGACGTTTAGAATCTTAAACTATACGGTCTCGAAACGATTATTGAGGGGAAAAAAGCATTCGAACGACGAGACGAGTGGAATTTCAAGCGATTTAGAAATTGTGCCATACCTTTGCATCGGGATAATTAGATTACAAACGGCAAAAACCTTCGACAACGAATGGTGACGGAGACGCCGACGCCGTATTGAGTTTTCCTGAAGTTTCCGGGTGTGTTCAACATTTTCCAAAGTCAGAAACAAGACGAACTCAGTACGCCTACGACTAATGTCATTATGTCGGGACGTGTTGTAAAACGTTTTTTCGCTAATTCATGAGGCACGTGTCGAACGCTTTTTCGGCAGAAGCTTTCCGAAGGAGCAGTAAATTATACGATACACAGTATAGTATATACGTTTAATATAATACAGTTGACAGACAAACGAAAACTTTACTAATGTTATCGTTATTTTTTCAAAAAATTTTTTTTCAAACTTTTACCTATTCGTACTTACATTTTAAACGAAAACACATAATGATTATGTTGAAAACTAGTATAATGTAGATGTGAGACTATCAGTGACGTATTCCTGTGATAGGAGGGAGGTTTGCTAGGGGTTCTCGTTTCCCCAGGGACATACAACTTCTATTTTTTATTGGTGGGCTTGATATGATTTTAAGTAGATTTTTTCGGCAAAATTGCGTTTACTTATTCACCTCCCCTCCCTTAAAAAAAAGTCGTAAATACGTCAGTGGAGCACAAATAATAATAATAGAGCGGGTAACTGCTCTTATCAGGGTTTCTTGGGACGCATCATTTTGCGCTTACACGGTATTTCACTATCGAAGTCATGCAATGGCATCACCCATGACACGTACCCAATGGAAAACGGTTCCCCTGTTGGCCATTGAGTACTGCATTAAGCTAAAGGGCGAAATACATTTCGTCGTCCTATAAATATATCATTATAAAGAACTAAAAGAGCCTGTAAATAGCCTGTCCCACGCTTTCCCGAATCCGTCAGAATGATTATTTTATTTTTTTAAAAATAACAATCGAAAATTAATTTATAAAAAAACGTATACGCATATACATAGATTTATGTGTGAAAGTTTAATTGAAATAAATAGCAAATAAATATTCATTTACATTCATTGCGTTGTAGCCTTAAAAAAAAAAAAATCAAGTTTTATGAATATTTTGTAGCAATTTTTCGTTTTAAATTTTGAGTGCAGCGTCGAATTATTGATTTTACTAAGATGTTTATTTTCGAAAAACGCTTTTTCTCTTCATACTTTATTTTAGAATATGCGAATTTTTGTCCTTTGGCACTTTATGTAAAACAGTTTTCTATACATTTCTGACTGTTTTTCTAAACGATTAAAATCAACTGACAACAGATTCCAGTATATGAATACAATTTGTATTGATTCCTCGATTTCCTGGGGCACAGGGGAAAATAATTTCTCGCTTCTATGTGATTTTCGCCCGCTTGCTCGCCGTTTAAAGTGGCTTTGTCGGGCCACTCTCTTCTTAAATTTTTTCACACAGTACCTAACACACCTATATCAGACGGACGGGAAATCTAACCCATGTCATACTACGGCATGTCGACCAGTATAATGTAGTCTCTTAAACTGTAACAGTACGTTGTACATATCTCAGTTTTACTGTTTAACGACATAATAATAAAAAAAAAAAAAACAATAAGTTTTAACATAAACGTTGATATCGTTTTCGTGATTTATAGTGTGACCTGCACGATTTACAGAAACAAATATTTTTTTTTTTTTTTTGGTGTTTTTAAGTGTGTAGCTAAAAACGATACGTTCGAATACTCGGGTCTTTCACACGCCTATCCGTATGTACCGACTGTGGTTTTTCAAACGAGAACCTATATCATCACGTGTCTGAAAACGCCCGCGAAATCGGGACGAGCGCATTACGGACACGCGTATATTGTAATACGCCGAACCGGATTTCAGGATAGACTAGTTTGGCCAAAGTCCGTTTGGGCGAATCGGATTAGACTGGGGTAGACTAGTCGTCGTTTATCCCGGAATCGGAGTTCGCATTTCAGGTCGAATCGGCGCGGCCCAGGCTAAACCGATTGAGACTGTCGATATAAATATTCGTTTATATACGCAGTGTTAAGATATACAAAACGATTGTAATCGTTAATTATTTTAACCGTATCTTAATTATAAAATAACGTGAGCTACACTGCGATGACGGCGGATCGATTAAAGACTAAAGGACTAAAGGAGCATACAAAAACAAATCTTTATGAATGGTTTCATGATGAAAATTTTCTAATAAAGCTAGCATACCTCTCTGATATTTTCAACAAGTTAAACGAAACGAACTTGAGTTTACAAGGAAAAAAAACTTCGATCTTTCAAGCCAATGATAAGATTAAAGCTCTCATTGGAAAGTTGGACTTTTGGGTCGAATGTGTACAAGAAAATGATTTTTCATGTTTCCCCAACCTGAATAAATTCTTATATGAAAATGAAAGCTCAGTGACACCGATAAATGCAGAAAAAATAAAAGACCGTTTAATTAGTTTAAAATCTGGATTACTTTCCTACTTTCCAAGATTAAATGAAGATTTTGATAATTTGTGGGCACAAAATCCATTTTTAATTCAGAAAAAGCCAANCTTGAAATAAAATATTCTTCTGAATTGAAAATTAAGTTCGAGTCACTTGAAATTGAGGAGTTCTGGATTGCCATGGAAAGTGATTACGAACAATTGTCCATAAAAGCTGTCACCATTTTATTGCCGTTTACAACTTCCTACTTGTGTGAAACTGGCTTTTCAGCGTATACAAAGACCAAGAATAAGTTTCGAAATCAACTGAACGCCGCTCCGGACTTACAAATCCAACTCTCAGGAATAACTCCAGGTTCAAAAAACGTTATGAAGCAAACTATGCAAAGATTCCAATATTCTCATTGAATCTATCTTGGAGATAATTGCAGACAAATAATAAAAGTGTCGGATGTGTCCGACAACCCACTCATTTATGTACACAAAACATATGTATGCATTGACATTATAGAAAAGATATAGGGGTTCCACAAAACGTTCAGACTCCTACAAGGGTTCCGCGAGTAAAAGAAGTTGGGAAACGCTGGATTAGACCGACGGACGGACGAATGCATCTCGCAACAAACGCTCGTGCACCGCGATATCATTTCCATGACAGCTATTGTTATAGCAATGCGTCGCGGTCTCGATTATTGTTATCGGGAATATCCGGTTTCCGTATTGCATTTATTATTTCACCGTATCCGCCGTACGCCCGATTGTGGGCGTCTCCTACGCGCATTTTTCTACACCGCGGTACGGCAAAACCGACAGCCGCGATTAGTTTAGCGCGCCGGTCCTGCTGGCCGACTAACTCGCTGACTTGCCGACTACGCCGTGCGCCGTACGCGTTGTCGTCGCGACTGTCCTTAAAAAACAAACGATGTTTTGCGGCCCGTTTGTAGACGACACGCGGGACGTATCTGAATGCCGCGCGCGCCGATATCGACAGCCCGCAATCGGTCTATCCCGGTCCGACCCGCGTCGCAGTCCATCCCGACGGACTGCGGGCCGAACCGGTTCGGCCCGGGATAAACCGATTGCGGGCTGAAATCCGGGGGCCCGGCCCGCGCCGCGTCGTTGCACACGGGACGATACGGCGGCGGCGGGTTTTTTCGCGCGCGTTCCGCCACAGCGCCGGGCGCGGTACTCGACCGCGAGGACGCGCCGCGTCCGTTTTACAGTCATTTCGTGCCCGCGCGGCTAATTGTTCCGAGACCGTGCACCCGCGCCGCGGCAATAACAGTGGAACGCGACGGCGCGGACCGGGGCTCGGCGGACGTTTCACACGTTACCGTACGGCCGTTAATTGAATTGATTAAACGGGCACGCCGTGCGAGCGTTTTACGCGCGCGAACTCCGTGATGGGCGGCGGCGGCGGCAGGGGCGAGGGGGCCGCGGGCAGACGCGGCTGCCGGGTCTGTCGCGGGACGGCGCGAGCGAATCGAGAGGCGGAGAGGGTGGAAATTTATCGCCGTCGTCGTCGATGCCGGCGGCGGAGAGCGCGCGAAAAAACCGACTCGGCCGACGAGTAAGGGGAGAACGATGGGGGGGGAGAGGGGAAACCGTACCCGTATGTTATTACACCGATACGGAGGCGGCGGCGGCCGTGTGTACATACGTATATTGTATCGCGTACGGGTATATATTATAGGAGTTAATTATTAACGATCGGAAAGCGAACTGGTACAAATTGTTGAACCGGAGCCAAACTGATTTATGCCGCGCGCGCGCGAGCGAGAGGGAGGAACAGCCGGACGGACGGACGCGGCGGAGCGGGGGAGAGAGAGAGAGAGAGAGAGAGAGAGAGCGGGCTAATAATATTACGGCAGTGCGAACACTCGCGATAAAATAAATAGTATGCAACGCGGTATAGGTAACATGAAACGCGCGCGACGCGGGCCGCGGGTTGACGCGCGGAAGAGTGACGGACCGCGGGTCGGGGACAGGGCGGCGCGGCGGACGCGACGGGGAAAGTCTTCGACGCCGTCGCATTGTCTTGTAATTTTTTCGTACGTCTCCCGGTGGTCGTTTTACACGTCGCACACGTACGCGCGATAGACGGGGAGACGGCGGGGGACGGCGAAAGAGACGATAATTTATTTCGAAGAGATCCGCCGACGACGATTACACGAGAAACGAGCCGACGACGACGACGACGACGACGACGGCGTAAATCTCCGGACGATCGATATTATTCGGTATGCGCGGTATACGCACTCGTATTATACGTAATAAAAAATACGTGATATACGCCGCGTTTTTTTTTTTTTTCGCGAAGACGAGTTTCCCGCGGGGCCGGTCGAGTGCCGAATCGCGTTATGCCCGCGCGATCGGACGCGGGATAAATCGAACGGCGACGGGGGGGTGGGGGGAGGAGGAGGAAAAAAACTAACGGACAAACCGAAAAATAAATACCCCCGGTGAGCGGGGAATGTTCCGTTCGTTCGTTCGTTAACACCGATCGCCGCGAAACGATTTACTCCGCGTCGCCCGTCGCGTGTAACGGCCGCGCCGCGCTACAACAATACGTTGCCGTCCCGTTTCGCGCCCGGCCGTTTAACACGATTCCGCGCCGCATGCGGAACACGCGCAGTGCCCGCGCCGTAACGCGCGCAAACGTGAGACGGTGCTAATCGCGCATGTACGCTTTTCCCTTATCTCAACCCCCACCCCCCCATCCCCGGGTAGGTATTGCGATAACACGTTCGTCCGTGCGTACAAAAAAAAAAAAATATTCAACGCCGCGTGCGCCACGAGACGTCGCGTATACCACGCGAACTGCACCGACGCTCGAGAAGGACGGCATGGCTTGAACTTGAATATGAATATCGGCGTTCGCGTTTCTCGCGTGGGACGGGAGCGTACCAAAGTGCCGGAAAAATATTTTTACTAACCGAAAAAAATCGTCGCGGGTCGTCCGCAGGGGGGAAAGGGGGCGGTAAGCAGGGGTATTTACACCTCGCGGAAATTTTTTCTCGCTACAACGATACAAATACAAACGGACGTCACGAGTATTCGCCGTTCTGCCCATTCGAAAAACGAGGGGGCAAACGACCCGTGTCGCCCGTTATTCGGGCGCCAATCCACCCGTACAAGACTGTACGGTTTTTCGAAACGAATATCTTAAATCTAAATACTATGGACGGACGCTGATTTCAGTGTCGCAATACAAGACGCGATTTAAACCAGGATTACTACGCGCGGTAGTTGAGACGCTCGTAACGGCGGTATTAGGCCGCCTTCGCGCCGTGCGTTTTTTTTTTTTTTATTTTTTTTTTGAAGTATATTGCTCGTCCCTGCGGACCGTTTAGGGGCCCGATATCAATAGACGCCGTCGTCGCGCTACGGTAAACGGTTCGCTCTCGCGGTACGTCCGCGCGGAAACCCGAGACGCCGTACTATTATAATAATATACAGGATGTCGATACGCGACGTCTCGTGTATACGTAATGCAATACTCACGTGCGTGCGGTATGCACGCGTGTGAGTATGCGCTCTCGGAAACGTTTTTCGCATTCCTATACGGCCGCGGATCCCCCGTAGGTGTGGGATGCGGTAGTGTCGGGAGGTAATATAGTAATGCTTTTAACGGGAATGTGTGCAGCGCGACGAACGGGGAACGCGTGACGCGACTCCGTAAAGAAACCGGCGGGGTGACAGACCTTTTCGACGGCGGTGTATACTATACTTATGTTATTTGGGGGGTGGGTCCGACTTTTTTTTTTTATATCGCGCGTTTCCTCTCCTTCCCATCCCCCCCCCCCGTATTAGGCCGCGACGGGCGTTTTTTTCACGATATTTTACGACGACTTTTAAAATATTCGATTCAGACGCGCCCGCGCGCGTATTATAATCATATACACACACATATATATATATAGATATCTTTTATCGTCGTCACCCTCAAAATACCGCGACGACGTGCGGAGATATCTCTCGGTTTTCGGGAATTTTCGTTTTTTTCACGTGCACATTTGTATTATACGCCGTACAAAGCGCCGTTTACAAAGCGTCGCTGCGGTCGGGGGTGGGGGTGGGGGAAACTTTATTTACTCGCGCGCGTTTGTCTCGTTTGCCGATCGTAAGGCACGTTCGAATTTGCATGGGATAACGAGATGAATATAATTATTATCAGTACATTATTATTGCCATATTAATCCGCGTGACGGCGGCATTAGGTGTTTGCTCAATACGTCACGGTATCTACGGGGCGTTCGTTACGATAAAGAGCCGCGCCGTTTCGTTTTTGTCGCTCGACGACGAACACCGTACAGACACTGCGGTATCCGAGCACTTTACCGAATTAGTTTCTCTAAATCCTAACGTACCTGTTAACCCACACGCAGCGATACTGCTCCATGATCGTCGCAGTGTCCAAAGTTGTCTAAACGTTCGGCTGACGAAAAACCACGACCGGTTTAGATTGTTTTAATGCCGAGAGGTAAATGGAATGAACCGCACGAACGTTGGTGCAAATTTGGGAGGCACAGAGAATACGGGAGGGTAACTCCTACGGGTATCTATTGTACCCGTTCAAATAGTATATGTCTAATTTCCATAGGTATGAAAACAGATTTTAGTGAACGTTTGGTAAACCGATTCAATGCATAATATTTTGTTGTTTTGTTTTGAATTAAACGAAATTTACCGTTTTAATTTTAATGTAACGATTTGTGGAACGCGAAAAATAAATAAACGGAGACGTGTCTATCAAACATACAATAATAATTGGCCAAGCAACGCGCAAACGAAAACCGTCGTAAAATGATAAGGTTTCAAAAACGCGTTTACATTATGTTCATTTGATAAACCGTTTTGAACTACATATGGATCCGACAGCGTTTTAATTTTGAAAACGATTTGATGCTTTCGAACCGTTTTAAAGTGTTTACCGCACGACAAGTGGAAGTTTGGGTTTCGCAACGACGAGTTCATTTCAAACCGTTTGAACGCCATAACAGTATAACCGTATTGTTGTTATCAGCGCGTAGTTTTGGGCGTGGCCAGTTGAATTCGGTCCGACCCACCGCCGTTCACCGTGAAAAAAAAAAAAAATAAATAAAAAACAATGAAAACGCATCAAAGTCGCCCAACTGTATCGCTTAGCGTACAGGTATAATATAGTGAGTGTTATTGTTATCTCCGGATTCTTATCGTCGTCGGAGAAAGTGCCCGAGTACAATCCAACTGACAGTCTTTGGGAAACACGGTGTCGGAGCGTGGCGGCGCAATTCGTTTAAAAAAACCCCCGTCGGACCGATCGCCGGTATCACGTCGTCGGGTTTTTTTTTTTTTTATAATGATAATATTATA